TTTGCTTATTTTAAAAACCTAATTTCTTGAACATGAAACATCATATTGAAGTACCATCTCTTTGCTAATTTAACAAACCATTAAGTGTGCTGTTTGCTTCCTAAAAAACCACAAGAACAGTGTGCTGGGTTGGTTGATTAGCACTCTACAAAGTCTTCATTTTGTTAATGTTTCACACTTCTTACAAGTACCAGGATCCCTACATCTCAAAGGAAATTAAATGAGCATCTTATCTCTGAAGGTATCAAACAGTTTGGTAGAGGAAGGTGTGCTATGTATTTAAAAAGGGGAAGCCCAGTTTGGAGTGAAAAAAAAGAAAAGAAATCCGAAAGGGCTTATAAAGTGATAGGCCTGAAAGCTGTGTCTGCTTCTTAACTGTAGAGAGTCTCAAGGAAGCATATGCTTTTGAAAAATAAAATATTTTAAGTTAATGAGAGGATTGAAAGTAAATTTAGTTTTTTGGGCCGTACATTGCCATTTTGGATGTTATTTTATATCAGCCTGAGGCATGTGGGTAAAAAGAAATAGAACAGCTACATCCTATTTTATCTTCTACATGCACATACCTGTGATCTTTTGTTAGATTCTTGATAAGCTGTTCTTCAAAAATGCCCCAAAATGTTATTTTTCCCTTTATCGTATAAAGATGTTTGTATTTTTAGAGCCTAGAAGATACAAGGTAAAGATAACATTTTGACCACAGGGTGTTCAATATGTAAAACATTGGAGGTGGGGTGAGTCTTGTTTTCAAGAAAGTTAGGTCTTATGTATGATTTTGCAAGTTTTATATCTTCTGGAACAACTATAGACAGTTGTGCAAAGTATTTGAATTAATGGTTGAACTTGAACCTGTGCCTCTTAAATGTGTGTGGATTGACCTTGGCCACAACATCTGTTCTTCCTTTTATGTGGATCCAGCAAAAATTAAATACCTGCAGGGGGCACAGGCTAAGAGTCTGGGTTCCCTCCAAGCCCGTCCTCCCACGGGTGGGAGCCTTCCTTCCAGATCCTTGGAGAATCACACTGTTCTGAAGTGCAGAAGGAACTGGTTTGCTCTGCTTCAGCTACGACCTGAGCCTTTCATCAGCTTCTTTGTCTTTTAGCGTTTTAAAATGAACATTCTGGGTGGTCTGGTAATATTTCATCCATTTTCCCCCTCATTTCACTTTTTACCAAAGTAGAATTGGTCCGAAGATGAGGCTCTCCATTTCTCTCTATTCAAAATTCTATGAAGAAGTTAGCAACACCAACTTCCCCTACACAAAAGCTTTCGAAACATTTGTTTAAATTTGACTTTTGAATCAACCCCAGGTGACTGTTCCTTGGCAAAAGATATGTAACTTTATCACAGATCAACTTTCCTTGCTTGCAGGTCCTGGCTTAGGGTCACCATAAAGATCCTGCAGATGTGTGTAGGAAATCAAACACTGTATTATCAGGGTGGCCTCAGTAAAATTCAGACTTTCATTCAAATCATGGCCCTCTCTACACTTTTTCAATAGTATGCTTTGCACAGATACTTAAGAATGTCTCTACAAAAGAAGGCAGGGGCAGGGTGGCTGGGCCCAAGTCTTCTAAACCTAAGCATTGAGAACGGAGAGGCAGAGAATGCATTTGCAGGGTGCCAAAGTGATTGTTCATATACATAAACATTTAAAACTTCCAATTTAGGGTGTTTTCTTATGAAACCCACAATTTATTCCACCCCTACATTAACAAACAGACAACAATCATTATTTGGAAAAGAAAGAGATCATGAGCTCATATTGAATATCAACTCACCAGCATGTGTTATAAAATGGAATAGCTTCTTGAAAGAAGAATTTATTCCTCTGCATACAGATACACGTTCTAGTATTGAAATACTCAATGTTAGCAAATCCTGATGATACTGAAGAATCCTGAGCTCATGCCAGAAGTTGGATGCCTTAAGAAAAACAAATGATTTGTTTGGCATAGTTTTTTTTCCTGCATAATTATAGACAGTACAATATTTTGAAGGGAGAAAACTATGGACAACCAATTATAGATACACAATCTTCCTATACTAAAACTAAGTTTATAAAATTTGCAACATGTTTGTTTTTTGGCAAAAATTATTTGAATATGGGGTTCGAATTTAATCTGTCCTCTAATTCGTTCCATGTGCAATCAGTTCTAATCACTTATTTGAAAAAATATAGATTTAAAGTTGCTGGGAAAAAAATCCTCAGTATTTTCATGCTTATGTCAAAGACCAATTTGACATATTTTCTTAACAATGTATTTTGAATGTGTGACTCTGAAACCTCTAAACACTTTGAGTCATCAGAGGAGTTTTCTTGTTCAAAGATGATCACTCATGCATTAATGTCACCCAAAAGAACAGCGATGATGAAGGTTTAAGATAACATAATCCCAAGATTTATAGCCGCACAAACAATGCTCCGGACCACTGCTGTACTGTCCATTGAAGGGCTTCCACACACATTACATGCGAGCGTAAATGATCTGAAAAAGATAATCTGATTCAGGCTGAAGTGATTTCAACATTGGAGCAAATCACAAACAGCAGATCTGGCCTTGCTGAAAATTTCCATCTAGTTGTTGAACAACTGGACAAAAATAAACAAATCAAAAGCTCAACAGATGAGCAAGACTTTTCTCATGATTTTTTAAAACTTAGAATGCAGCAAAGAAACAAATATCACCACAGAAGTCCTTGCAAAGAAACTGCCTTTAGCATCTAATCTGGAGCAAACAATCTGCAAAGCCTGCCCCAGTCCCCGTCGCTCTCCCACCAGAACGCTCCACTCTGGCTGTGTTTCCTGGTTTCGTGGACTGTACTGCGGAGCTGTTTATCAAAAACAGTGTATATGTACATAATTTTTTTTAAGGCTCCACTCTACTTCCCTAAGAATTCTTGCAAATTTTCTCCCTCCTCCTGGACAGAGGACGGAAAAGCCTCACAAAAAAAGAAAAAGAAAGAAAGAAAAAGAAAAAGAGAAAAGCAGAGCAGTGAAAGCAAAGAAACAATAGACAACCATGGCTTTGACAATGCCTTCCCTCAACACCCTCTTTCTGCTCCTGCTGTGACACTTGCATTCAAGAGCAAGGGCGGCTGCCACCGGATGCAGGTACAATGGATTGAGGAGTACGAGGCAGGGAGAAAAAAAGGAAATCAGATGAATCCTGAGCTAAGATGGCAGGGCTCTCACCTTTTCCGTTTCTGCGAATAGTCTGGATGGAGGCATCCCGCAGAGCAGAAATAAAAAGGGTGTCTGAGTTGTTGAATGGTTCTGAAGGCTTCTGCATTTGCAAACGCATTTTAGAACTATTTGCAGGGGTATACTTGCTGCCAGCCATTTCTCTCTCTCCCTCTCTCCCTCCCTCCCCCCGCCCTCTCCCCACCCCGCTCCTGTTTTCTGTCCTGCTGTCTCCATCACACCTCTGTGAGTAGGAAGACTCTTTCTGCCTGTTGAAATGAGTGAGAGTGTGTGTTCCTCAGTGTTTGAGTCGAGACCCACGTCTGCCGCATTTCTAATCTAAGGAGCCTATAGCAGTTCCTACAACTACCAATTAGTCAGCAGTGGCTGGACAGCAGCTGAGACCCTCAACGCTCTAGCGGAACAAAGGTAGAAATACATGCAAATACTTTAGCACCTGGGTCACCCAGCTTGCTGGCTACAAACAAGGGCAACTTTTCCTGTTGCTTAAAAAAATGTTTTTCTGTTTACCTCTCAAATCTATGTAACATTATATGTTATTAATGTATCCACCGGCATAATTAGGTAGTAACTGTTAATAGACATTCATGTTTCTTTGGCATCATTGGGAATAAAATGAAATGTATTAACTGAAATAAAATGAAATGCCTGGTGACAAATAAGAGTCTATGATATATTTGATCCATTTTAATCAACTGCCACTAGAACTTAAATTAACTATATGGTATATAGTTCTTTGTCCATTTCAGTGGCTTTTATGAAAGGAACTAATAAAATAATAATGAAAAGGAGAGGAAAATATTCAGCTATAGAAAAGCATATAAGAAGATTAATTCTCCTAGGCAGGAGATGAATTATTTTAAGTTCAATTCTGGATTTTGGTTACCCTTAGGTGGATTTGTTTTGGGGTGTGTGTGTGTGTGTGTGTGTGTGTGTGTGTGTGTTAATTGGATGTGTGAGAACCAGCTGACAGTGGGCAGATCTGTGGCGACTTGCATAGGATGTATTGGTGCTAACCATCTGAAACAATATAAAATACTATTTTACCTATTTTGCAGAAACCTCAAAAAATCAACCCTTTTGAAAGACGGTGCTTTGCCTTTCAGTCTTTAGGGACATAAAAATATCGTTAACTTGAACGTACAAGAAGAAAAAGGGAGATACTAGTCACAGCTTATCTTAGTTTTAACTTTGGAATTTAAAAAGGCATTACGTTATCTGTGATTTTTGTTGCTCTTTTTTGATGCATGAAAAGCTGCATTTCTCTCCTCGGCACTTCTTGTTAGATTGAAATTATTTTCAAATGAGGTATGAAAACTATCTTAAAGGTTAACATCTTTCCCCCTCTGCCAGTGAGACAGCAAGTTTCACCTGAAGGCATGAATTTACAGCCCTGCTGCAAAGCAGGGGCGCCCCATTGCTGTGACTCATTCCTCTTCCGGGGACTCTCTTTTCAAAGAGCAATTCCCGTGCGTGTGTGTGTGTTTCTCCCTAGATACAAAGGCTCAAACGACCATTTTACCCCCTTTAACTTCTGTGGAGACTACAGAAGCTCCGGGATTGGGAGATGCCACTTGAAGAGGAAAACCCCAGCGAGAGCGCCCACAACCTGAACTACGGGGACCAGGGCGAGAGCCGGCCGCCCTCTCACAGGGAAGAAAGGTGCGAGGAGGCGGCGCGGAGCGGCCCCTCTCTAGACAAAGCCGGGGCCGAGGGGAGGCTCCCACGTCCGCCGCCGCACCCCGCCAGCTGAGACCGGAGAGCAGCCCAACCGCGACGCAAGGGAGGGCGGCGATGGCGCTCGGCAGCCGGCGAGGCGGCGCGCAGTCGCGCTGGCTCCCTGGCGCCTGCCGCGGGGAACGGCGGCGACCGCAGGGGCCGCAGGGGGAGCCGCGCCCCGCGCAGCCTCGGCCGGGGCTGCCCGCGCCCCCGCCCCGAACGCGGCCGGAAGGAGCTGGCGCCACAGGCAGGTCCGGGGCCCATCGGCACCTAGGACACCTCGGCGCCGAGGTTCCCATTCCAACGCACCGAAGAAGCAGAGACGGAGGCCACTCCAAGGCTGGCCGGGCTTCTGGGAGAGTCAGGTTCCCCTCCCCAGACCTGGGACGAGCGCCGCGAGAAGCCGGGCGGAAGCGCCTGCACGGCCGGGCGCGAGCACGCGCCAGCCTCCCCGTGGGTGTATTTTTAGATCAAGCCTCGGGGTAAGGCAGCCCCTGCACTTCGCGCGGCTTCTGCTTCCCCGCGGTGAGAGGAGCTGGTTGGTGCTCAGGGGGCGCGGTCCCCACCTCTCAGCGGCCAGAGGGCCGCCGGGTGGGCCCGAACCCACAGTCCCGGGAGCTGCACCCGGAGGCAGCCGGCATGGTTTCAGGGTGTGTTCCAACAGGAGGCCATGCTGCAGGGCAGTTTGCTCACTGCCAGCCTTTCCACAAGTGACTTCTCTACCATCCAAAAGCTGGATCGGGAGAAGAAAGCAACCTTGAAAAAGACCATTCCTACACCATAGATATGGATAAAAATTATTTGGCAGGACGTGTATTACAGTAATATGTTCTAAAGATCTAAACTTCTCCAAAAAACAGTGTTAAAGGCAAGAGATAATGTTTTATGTCATTTATGTGTGCTTTAAATTTGGGTATTTCTTCCATCCACGTCAGTCTTCAAATATTTAAAATAATAAATACAACAGAAAAATAGCCCAGCTTATTAAAGTATAACTGGAAAGCAAGAAGACAAGCTCAGCTTCACCAACAAAGTAAACCATCTGCTATGTTCTTTTCTGAGCCCAGGAATTTTCCCATTCACATAGAATAATAGAATATTTTTTAAATCCTTCTAAATGTTTCATATTAGAGTACACTTACTAAACGAATATATTGGCATATTTGTATGTATATAAAATTCTCAAGTTAATTTAAATGCATGGGGGAAATTCAGTCCCTAACCACATACCAGTCTCTCTAAAATTTCACACACCACTCAAGTGAGATGGACATAATGGTGATAAATAAAATGTTTCACAACTACAACATTCTATGTCAAATTGCTTAAAAGGAAGAGCCAAATGCCCATGTCCCTATTTTTGAGTCAGAATTTGTCAGAATTTTTTAATGCTGTATATATGTAATCTATAGAAGAGAGTTACAGAATAAATTATTTTCAACTCTACAATAAGCACCCCGACTTTTGATTTTTCTTGAAGAGTAGAAATAGTTTAAATTTTTAAGTTGTAAATCTCATTAGGACTGAGTGCTTCTACAAGAACGGACAAAGGAAAAATAATTCATGTCAGACCAAAGGCTTCTTTCAGTCGGTTTCACGCAGTTTTCTTCCAACAGATCTGGGCCAAAATGAATGTGGAATCTTGAGTTGAACTATCCGTCACATTTTCCTAGCCTTTCAATTTAATGACACTGCAATCAGATCGATAGAATGTAATAAGAAAAGAGCTTTGCATTTCTATACTTATTAATTCGTTGAGTAACTCCAGCAGTAAAACGTGACCTGAAAGGGAAAACACCCAAGGAAAATGAATCCTCTTAGCAATGACTCCTTGACCCAAAAGTGAGCACTGGAGTTTCTACCTTCCAACCAGGATTATTAGGAACAAAGTTCAGATTGCTTTGTCAGAAGCAAACTTGTCCTTTCTTCACAAGATTCTCCATAGTGCACTTACACCACCACAGGTCCAATCAAATGGGTCCTATTTTTTGAAATTTTGTAGCACACATTCTTGAAATGAAAGTCAGAGTATCAGCTACAGCAGCAGCCATTGTTCGCTGCTCCCTAAGCCAGCCCGGCTGCCAAACTTGTGCTCTTAGTTTTCTAGGGCATCCTGCACAGAGGAAATAAGTTCAGAAAGAGTGAGACAGGGAAAGAATAAGAATGCTAATGTGTTCACTCCAACCCGAACCATTGCCTCGGGTTGAGACAACCATGGCAGCCTGCACGCTCCACGTTCACCCCAGCAACAGGAGACGGGGCGCAGAGGGTGAGTGCTTGCGGGAGGGCGAGGCAAAGCAAGGCTGCTGGCGATGTCCTCCAGAATCAGGTGCAGGCCGACCTGAATGTCGCTGGAAGGGAATGACAACTTCGTGAACTCAGAGCGGAGGTGCCAAGGACTGGGGTGGGGGCCGTGGGCGCGTGTTCCTCAAAGGGTGTCAACTTCCAGGTATGAGTTAAGATCGGAGACTCTGGTGCACAGCATGGTAACTGTAGTTCATGATACTATATTGTTTATTTGAAATCTGGCAAAAGAGTAAATCTAAGTGTTCTCATTACACATATGTAAAAATGGTAACTATGTGAGGTGATGGGTTGTGTTAATTAGCTTGATTGTGGTAGCCATTTCACTGTGTATGCATATATCAAATCATCACCTTGTAGACCTTAAACATATGTGATTTTTATTTGTCAATTATACCTCAGTAAAACTGAGAGGAAAAAAACAGTGACTTCAGCCCTAAGAAGTAGGCTCTACTAAACGAAGGTTACAATGTAATGGAAAGAACATAGGTTTTTCTTGCCAGACAAACCAAGAGTTTGAAGATCAGTTGTATCATATATCAGTTCATATATCAGTTAGCAATGTTAGCATCTCTGAACCTTAGATTTGTTAGTAAAATAGAGATATTGTTGCCTACTTTAAGGGCTACCATGAGGTTGAATAAGGTAATGTCTCCAAAGCATATGACATGTTCTAAGGTGACCCTTCCTCCTCCCAATCCTAAAATGTCCAATTATAAAATAGCAATAAAAATACAGGCCTATTGTATAGATTAAATGAGATAACGTATATAGGACCCTCTATAAGCTGCTTAGCCTTACATAACAGAAGGGCATCATCATCATCATCATCATCATCATCAAATAACAATAATAGTTTCTAAAGTTTAGCACATTATTCAGTGTAAGACAAAAGGGATTAATCATCTTGCTCAGAACCTCACTGTATATGTAACTATGTAGTGGAGCTATCAGCAGTCATTGCTACTCGAGGAGACGTGTCCAGTGAATTGATTGCTACTAGGCAGCCTCCCAGGGGACTCTCTCTTAGTTGCCACTCTTTAAGGAGAGAAAATAAGGATTGAAATTACAAGAGGAAATCTGGCAATGTGTCGCAGATACCTTTGTGAAGAAGTAAGGATATCACCACTCAGTGTTCCCCATGTTTGAAATAAAAGGAGAAAAGATCTAATTATTCATTTAATAAATATTTATATGTCAGTAAAATATTCATGAAGAGGTGTATAAATGGGTGAGAGATGTAAGAAAAAGAATTCTTCAAAGAACTTAGAGTCTAGAAACAAACAAAAAAAAACATACAATGAAATAATTGCAAAGTGTTAAATTAGAAAAATACTACAGGTCTTGGACTAAAATTTTGTGCTAATTGGTGTTTGACATCTGCAATATCAGAAGTCCTTTTAAAGGATATTTTTTATTATTTGGCCATTATGGTTATTAACTAATGAAATGAGAAATAGATGAGAGAGCTTAAAATAGTTGTTACAAATTTTTAAGCTTTATGAAGATACCAAGTCCACCATCCATGTGTGGTTTGTATAGAAAACAATGGGAAGATTATAGAAACTAAAAAATAATGATTCTATAGCTAGGGTTGACAGAAGAGGATTTCTGCTGCTTTTTAGGGAATAAAAATAATAGCTACTACTTATAAAGCACTTACACTGTGGCAAACAATGTGCTAAGTATTTTATGTCTAATAACCACCTAATACTCACAGCACCCTATGAGTTACATATTATTGTTACAACTGTTTGACAGACAAAGGAACTAAAGCACAGATAGATCAGTTTACATGCCCAGGATCAAAGAGCCAGCACAGGGAAGAGCCGATTTTCACACCCAGGAAATGTGATGTCTGAGCCCACTCTCTTGACCACTGTAGTCAATCGCCTCTCATCTTTTTTCTTTTTCCTTAGATCCTCATCAATTGTGATTTTAAGTATAAAGTGAAACTAAATGGCCAACAAGCTGAGTCTATTATGAGTAAACTGAGAGAAAAAGAGAAAGGACCCACACAGTCAAGTAAAACTTATGGACAGACACAAAAAACAGTAGTGTGAACTGCTGCAAGTCTGCATTCCTTTTTCTAGTTCAGCTTCCAAGTTCATTCTTCATGCATTCGTTCAGCAAACATTGCTGAGCATGGCTCTGCCAGAGAGGGTGAGTTCACATCCCATCAAAGCTTACAGGCTGGTATAAGAGGCTGCCACCAAAGCCAGCAACTAACCACGCAGGGAGGTAAGTGCTTTGTAAGAAAAACTAGAATTGAAAATTTAGAATATTTGTTTTCCACCTGGGATAACTTTTAGGAGAGTAGGTCCACAAGATCAGAAATGTCTGGATCCAGAAATTCCTCAGAGAGGAGCAGATCTGAGTAGTATTTTCATCTGGTTCAATGCTCCCCACAAGCACTCATTTATTTCCTGCGGCCTCATGCGGGACATAACCCCACTGGGTCTCCCCTGCAGGTGCAAACTCCCTGCTTCTCAAGCAGCCTCCTCACGCCCTGAGTCACCAGTGGAGGGAGGAAGGCACCTTCCTCTTTGTCCTACTTCTCTCATGCTTATCAGACACTCAGAAAAATTCATGCCATGCATATTTTAACAATGTGCAGTACTTTTTTAAATTATAACAGTAACACATTTGCTACCAAAATTTAAAAAAAAATCTAAAGATGACAATTAAAATTATTCATAATACATAAATTTCACCGCTTGTGTATTTTAATATATTTCTGTCCAATCATTTACCTATGTGGGTGTTTCTATAATAATATATTTATGCATCTTTACAACATTTGGACCATAATATAAATAATTTTGCATTCTACTATCTTGGTTTAACATCACATCAGAACAATTTGCGGTGTTTAAATACCTTCAAAAGTATTTTAAAACATTGTGTAATATTCTGTACAATAGATAGGTTGTTTAACTATTCCCCCAGTATTGGATATTAGCATGTGTTTAGGATTTACAGTATATAAAAGTTTGTAATAGACATATTTTTACATAATTATCTGACCCCTTTAGTTTAATACAGATTAGGAGTGGGATTGTTGGATCGCAGTGTTTTCATTTCTCTTAAGTCTTGCTAAATTGCTTTCTAGAAAGGTTTTGCTAATTTACATTTTAGCTGTTGGAGAAAATTCTCATTTCTCTGCAGTCTTGCCACACTAG